AAGGATCCCCAAATGGTTTGAGTGGATTCTGAATTATCGGTGTGAAGTTTTTCATGATTTCAAAATTTTAAGTTGTTTCTTTTGCAAACTCGTGAAGATAGATTTCGAATTGTGCATTCTACATTGTCTTGGGGATTCTCTTCGCCGTTAGGCGATCATTTGGCAAGTGCAAGACCTGTAAGTACAAGATGGCTTTCAAACCTCACAAACATACTCTCCTTTGTGTTTTCATTACTTCAAAAAGAAATGAATAAAAGAAACCAAAAAGAATAAAAGAAAAAGAAGAAAAGAAAAAAAACAAGAAAATGAAAAAGAAGAAAAAAAGAAAAAAGAGAAGAAAAAAGGAAAATGGAAAATGGAAAAAAGTCAACTGCCAAGCCAAGAGTATTCATCGGAATAAAATCCAAGCAACTGTGGGGAAGAGAACTTTTGTCTGAATTAGGGGAAGCCAATGCGAGAAGGTACCACATTGCGAGAAGAACCAACTCTGAAAATGGAGCAAAAAAAAAGAAAGAAGACATGTATAAGGGAATGAAGAACCAAGCACAAATCAAGATGAAGCCAGTTCCAGTGTTAGGGTAAAAATGACTGTTGATCAAATTCACTGCAAGTATTGTAACGCTATCCTTGAGATGCTCGCTAGGCCAAAAACTTGAAAGGGCGACCTAGGAAAAAGTTATAGCATGAAAAAAAATAAGAAATCAAACAAATATAGCTTGCAAGGTTTAAAACCCCAAATGGGCGACTTCAGAAAAAGTTAGAGCGCAAAAGGAGAGTGTCAACACCCGAGTGCGCCTTAGCCATGAACTACATTGACCTAATTCCCATTCTTGGGATACGTAGGCAACTTCATTCTGAAGTTCGGTCTCAACTATATCCATCTAATCCATCTCGACTCAATCATCTTGTCCAATTTGCATCATCAAGCTTCGTATCAATCCATGAGCTACACTGATTGTTGTGCATGTCACATACTTACGTTAGGTAAGAAAGAACTAGCTTGAATCAACAGGTGAAAAATTTTTCAATACTTGAACTTATTAGTAGAATCTCTATCTTGAGCAAAAAAGGAATCAAAACTTGGGTTTTACGAAATTGAGTTCTAAAGGGAACATAAGTAATACTAGGGGCACTATGAATGATCAGTTACCTTAAGTCTTTTTTTACTTTCGGGTCAGCTCTGAGTTCTATTGTGTCGTGCCCAGTGTTTGTCTCGGTCTGTGCTCTTTATCAAGTCACCATAGCGTGTTTGTCAATCAAAAACACTTTTCGTCGAGTCACCCTAGCGAGTCTATCGCTCAAAGTTTGACAAAGTGGCATGGTCAAAATTCCATACACGAGTGTTCACCCCAAACTAAAAAACAAGTCCATGTGTGGAATGCATAAACAAACTGAGAGTGCCCATACAAGGGGCATTGCATTTGATCATTGCAAAGTGTATATGAGGAATCTGTCACTGCTTTGGAGGGGACTAGAGTAAGTTCTCAACTGGCTGGAACAAAAGAGAAGCATGAGTCTCATTGGTTGACAACCATTCCAGGATCTGATGATCCCCATCACACGTGCCTGCATAATGTTATTTTCTTTATCCTTGGGAATATCCTTGGGAATTGGGTGCTTGGTTAGTTTCTAGGCACTGTTGGGATGTAACGAGCAGCTTCCTCATACCAAAAATGACCTATGAGAATTGATGGTACATAAATTAGACACGCAGATTGGAAGTTAGAATCAAAAACGCCTTAAACTCAGTCGAAAAAAGGCGTTCGGGGGGTGAAAATACAAAATAGTCCCCCCAACCACTGTTGGAATGTAACAGTCAACTTCCTCGTGCCAAAAATGACTTGTGAGAATTGATAGTACATAAATATGACATGTAGATTGGGAGTTAGAGTCAAAAACACCATAAACTTAGTTGAAAAACGGAGATTCGGGAGGCGAAAATGTAAAATAGCTCCCCAACCACTGTTGGAATGTAACGGGCAGCTCCGTTGTGCCAAAAATGACCTGTGAGAATTGATGGTACGTAAAGAGGACACGTAGATTGGGATTTAGAGTCGAAAATGCCTTAAACTTTGTCGAAAAAGGACGTTCGAGGGGGCAAAATTGCAAAACAGCCACCCAACCACTGTTTGGATGTAACGAACAGCTTTCTCGTGTAAAAAATGACTTGTGAGAACTGATGGTATGTAAATAGGACACATAAATTGAGAGTCATACCTTAAAAATAGTCGAAAAATGGGATTTGGGGGGCAAAAATGCAAAATAGCGCCAAACCATTGTTTTAAATGTTCTTACATTATTATTAATTGTTCAAAACCATATCCATTTGTGTTGTTTAAATGTGCTGCTCATAAGTAGTAGTAGAAGTAGTTTTGATTTGTGAGAAAAAAAAGTAAGATCAATATCTCCAACTCTACTTCTAGTAAGATTTGTTGTTGCATATTGATTCAATTTTTTTTTTTTTACTTTCCATTTATGGGAGTAAAACATAAACAAACTAAAAAGTCTACATTCACTTTCGAACTTGAACATAGGTTTCACAAACGAACAATGACTATACTCATAATGGGACAATTATCAATGTCTTTTTTTTTTTTTTTTCTTTTTTGAAGTTTCTTTGGAGCCTCTAGTCTACATATTATGTGTTTGCCCTGTTTGGCTGGAAGTTTAATATTACTTTGTTGAAACAGGCTTAGCTTTTGGTGAAATTATAATGGAGATTTATTTTTATCTTAATACTAAGTTGGAATTATGAATTGTCTGTGTCAATACTAATTTGTTTGTCAGTTGAATTTCTAAGTTGCTAACTGCGATTTGAGTTGTTTATGAAGAATTATTTAGAAAAATTACTAGAATTTTTTTTTTTGAATTTCTTTCTTCTTCTTCTTTTTTTTTTCTTTTTTTTCTTTTTTTTTAGACATTCGAGTATGCAAAACTAATGATTAATTTGAAAAGATTAATTACATTTGAGTTTTATGTGATTTTCTTTTATAATTTTAAATATGCCAATATTTAGTCAATACTAATGATTAATTTTTTTTTTACAGATGATTTTTGGCGTGGAATCGTGGATACGACTTTTTTTGGACAATTACGAAGGACATTGTTTTAGTCTACATATTACTATCGTCTATATATATATTATTTTTTTGGATTACTTTTTTGTGTTTATAGGGCATGGTTTTTGTTTAATCCTTTGTTCTGTATGAAATTATATTTTTGAGATTGGATTATACTTCGTTTATATGGAATTTCTATTACATTTGAAATTTGACGTTAAATATGAATTTTTTGGATGGTTGAAAGTGAAATGTGTGCACGTTCTAGAATGATTGATAATATAATCAATATATGAATTATTTTGTTTATGTACAGGGTACATGTTGCACTAATAATGGAATGAATACACGTGGTTGAGAAATTAATTAAAAAATCAGATTATAAATTTTTTGGCTACTAAACATTTGGTAGCCAAAAATGTAAGCAAAGGTTTTGGATGACTAAATATTTTGTAGTACAAAAAAACAAAAGACTTTTGGTGACCAAATAGTTAGAAGCCAAAACAATATTGTCGGCGAAATATTTTAGTCACGAAAGAACAATACACCTTCGCCGACAAAAATGTTTGGCCGTAAAATATAATGCAATGAAAATATCCAGTCTTTTGGCGACTAAACTATTTGGTGGCTAATGGTGGCATAAAACGGTGACTAAATTTTGTAGTCGCTAAATGTGTTATTATTGGTGACTAAAATATTTAGTCGTTGAAAAAGAATTTCATTTTTATTTGATCACATTCGGCGACTAAATCTTTTGTCGCCAAAAAGTGACCATTGGCGACTAAGTTTGTTTTAGTAGCTGAAGATAATATAATTAGCGACCAACGTGAAATTAGTTGCCATTGACTATTGCCGACAAGGCTTCGATGACTGAATGGGCAACAAAAAACTTTAGTCGCCAATGACTTTCGAAGACTAAAAAAAAACCTTCGGCGACTAAAAATTTGGTAGCTAAAAGTGTAATTTCCTATAGTGAACCCTAGCAAGACTAAACATAACTAAAAATCATTTGATGAGGACAAACTCCACGAATGAATTTGAGAACCTTATCTCAGTAATTTTGGAAGAAAAAGGGTGAACTTTGATATCCTTCTACTCCTACCTTCTTCAATTCCTCTTATTTTTCCACCTTCCAACAAAAAGAACTTCAAGCAATATAGCTTGGATTAAATTTTCCACGAATGGATTTATAAGAACTTTATGAATGATTTTGAAGAAGAAAAAAAAAAAACATGAATTTTGACCTAAACCTCCGAAATTCTAGTGGCACAACTATTCTAGTAGGATGAATCTCGTACCTTTACCTTAACGCTTCAAATGGAAGCAATTCAAAACCAATTCTCTCGACTACTTTAAGTATGAAATGAAACCCAAATCCCTTTATTTCATATCCATCAACACACAACACCTTGATGTAAAATACATGGAAAGCTAATTACTATCTAAGTCTCCAGCATGTGTAAAATAAAAATGTGTCCAACTACAGTGCTCTACCATGCTTGATCAAGTAACCAAGATTTATTGACTTAAAGCAAGGAATTGCTTTAAAGAACCTCAACCAAACCAAGATTTTAATAATAACATAATGAACCATATCTAATAAATCTAAAGCCAGAGAACTTTATTCACATTAAACAAATCGAAATACGTGCAAAAAACCATTCTCATATGGGCTCTAATATTGAAACATTGTGAGTCTTTGGGCTCCCTCTAAACCTTGGTTGAATGCATCTCCTTTATTATTTGTTATTATCTTTTTGATTTCCATTACCTTGCTTGACCATGAAATAAGTAGACACGCAAAAGGGACTATCACAAAAGCAAAGGTGCACATCTGTACAAGTAGATGCCTTATATATTGAAACAGAATGTGGAAATAAAAAATAATAAATAAACTGCTAGCAAGAGGAATGTTAATGACAAGCTGAGAACATGACAAGATTAATCCTTCTTCGGGAATATAACCCCAGCAGGTGGCTTATAGAGGCGAGGCTTCTCATATCTTTCGTGATCACCGATAATCGGATAAGATGGCCAACAATTTATCCCTAAGGCTCCGACGTAGCTTCTGTTGCGTGAGACGTATGCATAGCCACCTACACCCCATTGCTTCCCCCAGGAATTTTTTATCAGCCAGGCGGGTTCTCCATTGTAAGTCCCTATGCCTACAAGAGAAATCTCATGAAATTCCAGAAGTGGATGGTCTTCAAGATTTGATTCATCACTCAACTTCACCATATCAAGCTCGAATAAAAAACGAGGTGGCTTGTACAAACCCTGCATTTAAAAATAAATTACAATAACATTTAATTACAACTTATTTCAAAATTATTCAAATAAAACATTTTTGAATTTAGTAGTTTATACCCCTTTATAAAGATCAAAAGACCTATGGCAGGCTATAGCAACAGTGATCGGGTGATATTGGAGAATTCTTGACATCTCATACTCATTTCCGGCTGTTATCTCCCAATATCCATCGATCGAAACTCTCGGACTATGAAACTACAAAAATTATAAACATCATAAATACAATATATATATATTTTGTCAGTAAAAATAAACTTTAATAATAATAATCAAGGAACAATACAAATGATTATTATCAATAAAGGGAGGGTAAGTTCAAAAGAGCATCACAACAAAACTAAACGATCCCAACTAGGTTGACACCGACATAGCTTGTAATCACTACAGCTGCCAAACCCACAGTTTCCATCTTCATTTGAGCAGTCCTGACTTAACCACTTCGGTTCCAACACCTTCTTACCTAGTGTATATTTGAAACAATCTCATTTATAGAGTAAAAGCACCCAACATTATGTGATTTCAACCAGATGGCTAATCCTACTTTGATAAACTCACACAATGCCTCCAAGTTTTGTTGAGTATCACTAAAGATACATTTATTCCTATGCTTCCACATAGACCAAACAATTGCTACAGGAATTGCTCTCCATATTTTCCTTACCTTTTTTTTTTTCCTTCTAAATTTCCAGCCCTTCCTGTAAAACCCAAGTTGTGTGTAGAATTATTTTATTGGACAGATTAGTAATTAAATTAATTTATATGGGTCATTTATTAATATCAAAGAATTAGTTATGAGGTGGCATTATATTTTCTATTTCTTAGATGGGTAATTTTGTAACTTTGAGAAATTAGGTTTATAAGCCCACTGGTTGTGGCTTTAAGTCTTGGGAAACAAATAAAACAGAGGCTGGTATTGCTCCATAGGCGGCAAGGGTTTGAGAAGGTAAAAGAAAAAAAGAAAAAAGAAAAAGAGAAGAGAGGTCCAAGTAAGGCTGCAATAGGGATTGGAGGCAGCACGTTGGGTTTTTGGGACACCCATTGGTTGAGGTAAAAATCTGCCTTTACTGTTGATTATTAAGTTTATGTTGAGGAATTAAACAATCAATGCATTAAGGGGATTTGGAAGACCTATAGGTGCCTACTTAGGTTTTGAGAATTGGGTGCAATGTGTAAGTGTAACTTTGGGTGGGTAATAGAAACAGTGGAGTTTGTATCATGGATAAGGGTGTGTTTGGCTATAAAGTTGGGTTGAAGGGTTTGGTCACTTGGATATTAAAGCTATACATTAATCTAATATGGTGGGGCTTTTGTGGGTGTATGTAACACGTAAAAATATTAATGTATTTGAGGTTTTATTTATTAGGTTTGTGTGATTGAAGTGGTGGAGCTGGGTGTTTGGAGTTGGTGTTGGAATATTATTTTTAAGTGTTTGAGGTAAGTAACCCTCTATCACTGTTGGTACATTTTTATTCCTATTGAATCGTTTAAAATTATAAGTATTTATTCACAGCCTTCATGTTCTCTTAAAATAAAACATGGGTCAAGTATAAAACAACATCGAATATTATTATGAAAATTATTTGAATATTTTATGGAACTATTATGAAAATTGTACTAAATGTTTATTTTGAAAATATCGAATATTTTGTTTAAAAGTTGTGTATTGTTTGAATTTTGAACATCACTCTAGCCTGACTATGATTTGGACCTTAGCCAATAGGGGTTATTTATTGGCACAGAAACTAGTTTCTTTTGGGGCTTTACCACCGGCCTATGTGTGGTTCTGTGCCTTGTCACGGGCTAAGTGACTGTAGTCACTAAGACTTAGGTTTTGTGAATCACATCATTGAACCATTGAATATCGAACCATCAATTTTGAACAACGAAATTTCGTCGAATTACCTCATTGTCTTTTCAATTAAAATGTATTGCTACACTGTTTATTTTCCGCTATGAAACCATCTTACAAAATAATTGTTCATTTATTGAATGGTAGCAAGAAATATATTTATTGATTATCGACTATTTTTTTTTTTTGGTATACTTGATCCAGCTAGTAGTGATGGTTAGTTATTTATTGGGTTGTCTAGCTTATCCTTATTTTATTTTTTTTCAGATTTTGAAGAGTAGAGTTGTGCTGGGTTTTTACTTGTGGGAGTGCCGAGAGTAGGACTATGATTTAAGTACTTGGATTATTATTTTTTTATTAGTGGACTTGGTGGACAATTTCATATGATAAGAATTATCTATTTGTATGGTTTTTAGCATTATGATATTTAAGGATTTAATTTGAGTATTTTATATTGTTGGTTATGTGTTGGACTCTTAGCCTTGCATGCTCACTTAAATGAGTGTGTGGCGTTGTCACAGAGCTTGGGGTGTGACACATCCACCACTACATTAAGCTATCAACTAAACATGGGATAACCATTGTAATCCCCACTAGCCTATGATTTTTTACCATACTTGCCACACAAAGGGACAAAAAAGTAAAACATGATTCAGATGCTTGACCATACTTGCCACACAAATTGACTCTAATTAAAAGTAAAACATACCTTTCTTGATTTTTTGTATTTCCCTTTCACTCCTATGTATGGATAATACATCTCCAATGCGATCCCATGCCTATAAATGTAATCGTATGCCATAATCTCCGATCCTCCTTTTTTCGTATTCCATGGTATACAGTCCAGGATCTCTTGTGCCACCAGTGCAACCAACTTTTCTCCATAATATATATGACGGGCACTTGCTGTCACATCAACAACGGCAACAGCAAAGCATGTATCTGAAAAATAAAGGATAAAAGTGAAATGATTATGAACTTAATATCGATAAGAAAAAGAAAAAAGAAGAAGAAAAGAACATTTACTTCCAATTTGTCTTCTAACTGGAAGTGGTGCTCCCCTTTCCACCCAATTAATTGAGGCAGAAAAAGCAACCTGTAAATTATGAACAATGAATTAGTACAACAGTGTAAATTTAAACTTGAGGGTTCAATTCAATGGCCAATGGTGTTACTCTCCTACAAGGGTTGAAATTTTGCTATTAAAAAAATATATATTGACAGACTAATTACGACATAAATTACAAACGAAAAATATACATCATGAATTGGTCTTGTTGAATTCACTAATCTTTTAGTGCTTTTACCCAAGTGCAACAAAAAGATAGAACCTATCAACAAAAAATCACGAGTCATGTAAAAATTAGGTTATAAAAACAACAACAACAACAACAACAACAACAACAACAACAATAATAATAATAATAATCATGAAACTTCCAGTTAATCAATTATGCCATTAAAATATTTTTCATGCTACATCTTTGTTTGCACAAATTTAAAATTTTCTAAATAGATTATAAAGCTGGTGAAGTTTAGCTATAAAATATTAGAACTTAGTGAAGTCAAGCAAATCTAACTCACAAAGTGAAACTGAGAGGATAGGAGATTAGATTTGAGAACTGGATGAAATAAATTAAGTTAACAAGACTGTCCAATATGTCAAAATGGAAGGAAGATTTTTTATGACCCACATTCACTCCCAGAATATTTGAGTTTGGAAATACAAATTTTTAACTCCTCTTATATATAAAAATATAAAACAAAAAAAAATAAAAATTGCAAGGCATAATTAACCAATAGCCTACCCCTATGAAGCTGTGACTAATCTTAGATTTCTTTTTAGGTTGTGTTTGTTTCATGTATTTGGGTAGGGAAAGGGAAAAAATGTGTGAAATTTAGCTATATTGCATTCACATTTCACCTATCTTTTCCTTTTCCAAATCCATGAACCAAACATAACCTTAGGATAAAATAAGGAATTGATCTTATATCACGTATCTATGATGCAAGACACCAAACTCTAAATTTTTCATTCTTGTGACGTGAAACAGAGTTGAAGAGAAAGGTACATAAGGTCAAATGGGTGGAAGTGACAAAAAACAAAGATCAAGGAGGGTTAGGCATTAGGAGGATATGGGAGGTAAATGAGAGTCTTTTATTGAACTGGTGGTGGAGGTATAGGGCCGCAGATAAAGCTTTGTGGAAACAAGTTCTAATGTGCAAGTATGGTTTACAGGGTAGAAGATGGTTACCAGCAATGAACTCTGATGGTGAAAGGAAGATATCAGGACTTTGGCGTGTTGAAGGTGGTAATGTCTAACTCATCATTGTTTAACTTCTATGATAATAATCTAAAGATTGGGGTAGGTGATGGCTGCAGGATTCATTTCTGGGTTGATAGGTGGTGCATGAACATCCAACTGAAAGAGGAATTCGCAAGGTTGTAGTCTATCTATGGAAAAAGAAGATTCTCTGAAGGATTTTGTGCAAAGAAGACGGAGCACAGGGGAATGGATGCTCTCATTTAGAAGGTCCCTTCTATCATGGGAAGAAGAAGAAGTAGGCAGGTTGCAGGGTCTGCTGAGTAATGCTCCAGTGCTTAGAATGAATTGCCCTGATTTCCTACAGTGGGAGGCTGCTTCTTCAAGTTAGTTTACAGTTGCATCAGTAAGGAAGGAGTGTGATGCCAAGTATGGACCTAGGCTTCAAATTACAAAGATGTTATGGCACAATGCAGCACCACCAAAAGCACAATTTTTTGAGTGGTTACCTTGGAAAGGCAGGGTAAAGACAGTAGATTTCTTGCATAGCATTGGGGTTATTAGAAGCAGTGAGGGTATTGTTTGCCCCTTTTGCAAATCTGAAGCTGAAACAGGGAATCATGTTCTGTTACTTTGCCCAGGAGTATGGGAAGTATGGTCAGATTTGCTGGATTGGTGGGAGATTAGCAGGGTAACACCTGTAGATGTGGAGGGGTTGCTTCAATGGCGGAGGGGTGTCAAGTTCAAGAAGATGGAGCGGCAGATTTGGAAAACAGTACTTATTACCCTGTTGTGGTCGATCTGGAAGGCAAGGAGATGGCAAAATTACCCGACCCAATTATATTTCTACCGACCCGATTTTAATAAAAAAAAGTTTAGGAGAACATTGATAAAGTAGGGTAAAAATATAAGAGTATGTAGGTCAAAACTATCAAGGTTAGGGTAAACTACGAAACCGTATCATTAAAATAATTATAGCGACCCCGGTCTTTTCCCATTTGATTATTGTATCCGGACTTAGGTTCCGTAGATTCTGTCATTGTATAATTGTTGTTGTTGTCCCTTATTTTCTCATTTGGAGTTATAGGATGTGTTGGGCAGGTTTGTTTCAGGTTGGTTGGGTTTAGAAACCAAGTGTTACTGTCCAGAATTTTGGATCTTTGCTCGAGCGAGGAGTTTGTCGCTCGAGCGAGCTGTTGTTTTTGGTTCTTCGCTTGAGCTGGGGTTTGGTCGCTCGAGCGAGAGTTTGCGTCTAGTATAGACCTGAAGTATTGCATTCTTGGCTCGAGCGAGATTTTCTTCGCTCGAGCGAGCGAGCGGAGATTTCCCCTTTCGCTCGAGGGGATCTTGTTGGTCCCTGGTCGCTCGAGCCGACCAAGTCTTTCGCTCGAGCGAGCCTGTCCAGTTTAATTAGACAGCAGCGGTTTTTTAATCAGTTTTTCATCATCTTTTTAGATTCCAAACCTAAGGTCCGACTTCTCTCTCACCCTACTCACATTCTTCTCTTAGATTTGATCCACTTAGGGTGTGTTTCTACCCTAGATCCTTCATTAAAAAGAGTGTGTGAGTCGAGGGCTTCGTTTTAATCTGAATTGTTGGTAGTTTGGAGCCTTTGAGTTTGGGTCTCATCTCCATCTTCTCTTTTGGGGCATTTCTTCGAGGTAGGGATTTACACTCCATTCTATAATTTTGTTCTAAGTTTTGGTATTTTGATATGTTGGGGATATCTTGGTAATTTTGGGAAAAACCCTAGTTGTATTGATAATTAATTTGTATAATATTAGTTTAAGGGATTTTGGGAATTTGGTTAAATTCATGAAATGAGGAATTCATTGATTAAATGGTGTAGTGGGATAATTAAACCACTCGCCTATTGAATTGTTGTTATATTTATTTCCAGTCTAAGAATAACTGATTTGGCTATCGGTGGAGGATAGTCGTGATTGTTGTAGACATTGCATGTGATTAGGAATAACTGAAACTAATCACATTGGTTAAGTCATTAATTTTGACTATTGCATTAATACAGAAAATACGTGTATTGATTGAGCATTGCATTTGCATACATTGTTTTGGTGGGAGGAGATAGGGATGTACTCCACGGTTAGGGGAAGATAGGGGATGGACCTCTAAACCGGATTTTGTTTGGGAGGAGATAGGGATGGACTCTATTAGCATCACTTTTATGTGTGTTTATTTATATAGAAGTGTTTTTTTTAACAGCACTAAAATGTGTATCAATCTGGAAGTATGAAGTGTTTTGATTTGAGCTTGAGTCTCATTTGTTTGTACATTGGAAGAATTGTGAATATGATATATATAATTCACTGTTGTAAGTTTGGCTTCTGAGCACGGAAACACTTCAATGTTGGAAAGTAAAACGTGTCTTAGACATTAATGTCATGAAATTGTATAATGATGTAATTGATTATCTTGGTTAACCATCTATTGAATGCTATTGCTTTATTCAATGCTTATATTTGGTTTAGTATATTTCTACTGGGCTGTGGCTCACCCTATATGGGAACATCATTTTCAGGTTCAGGTGATAAGCTACCTCCAAGGACTTAGCTTGGAAGGACTTGGATTCTGAAGACTATTTTCAGTTGTTTGCTTTTATTTGTTAGTACATGTAAACACTCAAGCCTAGGGCTTTATTTGTAATTGTGTTAGAACTCATACTTTTGTGTCCAAGTGTTGGCTTGGAAAGATGTAAGCCTGTAGGGCATTTAATTTGATGTTACATGTAATGCTTTTGTTTAGTAAGACTCTGATGAATATTATAATGAACTGTTTCCTTTTTAACATTGCATGTTGATGTTATATATATTTAATGGGTTTACTTTCAAGGGCGTTACAATAATTGAGTTTAAAGTCAATAATTCATGCGTGAAACCCAAAAAAAACCAAATGATTGGGTGTTTAATGGTCGTCAACCAAAATTTACAGAGATTGGGGAACTTGTTAAGGTGAGGGTGGCTATGTGGGCTAAATCAAATTTCATAGGAGTTCAGTACACAGTCCATGATATTGTTTCAAACATTAGGGAGGCTAGATTTTACTTGTAATTGTGGTTTGACTATGTAGCAGCAACTTTGTTTGCTGTTGGGGGTGATGTTGTGTTGGTTTGATTTTGTCTTGCTTTGTTGGCTTCTCACCAACAGTCAGCATGGTGCTCAGTAGATGATTTGGTATGTTTTTTAGTGCCAATCTAGTTGAGATTGATTTGTCTCGCCATAATGCTTTGAGCACTTGCTCTTTTTTTATTGATGTATCTTGTACAGTTTGTATGGGTTTCCTCATCAGTAAAGTTTTTTTTGGTTGATAAAAAATTATGCTATAAAATTTAACTTAAATAAATAAGCAAGCTAAAACAAAATACGATTAAATTAAGAAATCTATCTTTTTCTTTTTGATCGGCAAAAAAAAAAAACTATATTGATGAAGATCAGAGTACAGGACAAGATATATATACATATATACTAGTAAAGAAAATCCTGTGCAAGGCACAGGTCGAAGGTTAATTTTATTGAGAAATTTAAATATATGTAAATTAATTAGATTATTTAAGGTGGTGTTTGATAACTTAATTCAGCATTTAAATTTGAATGTATTAAGTTATAATTAATTAAGTATGTTTGATAATCACAAATAATATCAATTAAAAATTTAAGTGGTTCTGAAAATGTACGCCCAAAAATAAGAAAATTTTACCACCATACATTTGTATCAACATACATTGTTATAACCTCACAACCTCCGCCATTACCACCAATGCTGTCACTACCACCACCATCACCACTGCCGCCTCCACCATCACCCACCACTCACCATCTACCACCCTTCCATGACTACCACTTTCTTTACCACTATCATTATTTCCATAAGCACTATCATTATTTCACTACCACTACTACAATCGCCATTGCTGTTACTACCACCACTACAACAATTCACATTTGCAACCATTGCCACCATTGTCATAACCACCACCATCATTCCACCTCCACAATAATCACCACCATTCCACTACCTTCATTACACTATCACCGCTACTCAATTTTCATCATCACTACATTACTCCTCCATCATCAACACAACCATTGTCTCTCTAGCTGCACCACCATTGTCATTAATGCTATAGGCACTATTGTTGCTTCCACCACCATCACCAACTCATTATCACAATAAAAAAAATTTAAAATAATAAATTTTAAATTTATTAATATCATATATATCAAATAATTTATTTTACTTTAGCACTTGTATTTTTATTAAACAACTTTTTAGCTAAAAAAATTTAGCATTCAATTTTTAGTACTAAATTTTCATCTTTTAGTTTTCAATTTTATCAAACAACACCTCAATTTGGTAGTATTCGATAACTGAATTCAACACTTAAAACCCAATCTATTAAATAAAAATCAATTAAGTCCGTTTGATAATAACAAATTGTGTCTCTTTAAAATTTAAATGACTCTTAAAATGTAAGTTAAAAATTAAGAAAACTTTAAATGATGGAAAACTTGCTTAATTCTGACTAAATTTATAAATACTTATACATAAATATTAACATACACCATTACAACCTCACAACTACCACCATCACCACCTTTGCCTCTACCACCACTATCACCACAACCACCACCAACATCCACCACCCTTCCATGACCACCACCTTCATCACCATTGTCATTGTTATTACAAGTATTGCCATCATTTCACTACCACCAGTATAATCGCCATTGTCATTACCACCACCACAACAACTACTACTACAATTCATCACCTCTACAACCTTTGTTACCATTGCCATAACCATCACCATCATTCCACCACGGCTGCCATCCTCGTTTTTATCTCCATTACATTATTATTCCACCAACAACACAACCATTATCTTATATCTCCACTATCATTATTGTTATTGGTTTCAGGGTAAATTATAAAAAACAAAAATCTCAGGATTTGACCCTTGCAACAAAATAAATCCTGAGTTTTTAATTTTATCCATTTAAACCCTAAATTTTTGATTTGTTTTCAATCTGAACTATTTATCTATTTGTCGTTTATTTCCTTTCTTCCCTATTCTTCTTACAAAAATCATTTTCTGTGATTTTTCATAATAATATTCTGGTTGGAAAACAAATAGTAGTAATATACTTTTTGATAGATAGTAGTAATTTACTGTCTTTTTCTTTGACAACTAGTAGTAATATACTAGTGTCATTAACAATTCAAAAAATTTATTTGTGAAATTTTGTCAGAAATTAATTTTGGTTTTCTTAATTTATTTATGAATGTTCATTAATTAAAAAATTATGTTTTAGTTTTTTAATTATTGAAGTGTTACAGAAATTTAATTTTTCGTGTGAAATTTATTTTCTTAAATAAAATTTTATTTTATTTCTAAATCAATTGAAAAATAAAAGTTACGTTCTTGTTTCTTTTATTTTTACAGAATTTAATTCTGCGAATTTGGATTAATTTTCTGTGTAGTATAAATTCTAATTCTAATTTTGTTTTATAATTTAAAATTCATGGCTACTGAAACTAATGTCCAAACAAGTATTAGTGTGGTGGCTGCAATTGCACCAATCCCCTCGCCTGTGGTGACAGTACCGGTAAATCACGATGAGAAGCCAGAGAAGTTCTCAGGAACTGATTTTAAAAGATGGCAACAGAAAATGTTGTTCTATCTTGCAACTCTGAACTTGGCTCGTTTTCTCCGTGAGGATACTCCTATTTTGAAAGAGGATGAAACCGACCGGCAAATGGTTACTGCGATCGATACCTGGAAACATGCTGATTTCCTTTGCCGGAACTACATCTTGGACGGACTTGATAACACATTATACAACGTCTACAGTCCTATAAAAACAGCAAAGGAACTCTGAGAGTCTTTGGAGAAAAAATACAAAACGGAATATGCTGGCTCGAAGAAATTTGTGGTTAGCAAATTCTTGGACTTTGTGATGGTTGATTCTAAGATTGTGATCAGCCAAGTTCAAGATCTCCAACTCATTCTGCATGACATTCACGCAGAGGGCATGTCTCTTAGTGAATCCTTCTAAGTTGCAGCCTTAATTGAGAAATTACCAAAATGCTGGAAGGATTTCAAGAACTACCTCAAACACAATGGCAAATAAATCTCTTTGGAAGAATTAATTGTGCGTTTGAGGATTGAGGAGGACAATTGCAATTCTGAAAAGCAGGCTAGTAAGCATCCTATGGAGTCTAAGGCAAATGTGGTGGAACATGCTTCAAAAACTAAGAAACTGAAGCCTTCTGGAGAAAGTTCATCACAAGGCTCTAAAGGAGGAGAAAATAAAAAGTACAAGTTTAATAGCAAATGTTACATTTGTGATAAAGAGGGACATCGGGCCAAAGATTGCCCTAGCAAAGGCAAAAGCAGAAGAAGAACAAGCAAGAAACCTGCACAAGCCCATATGACCGAAGTGGACAATATTTTCAATGGTGTAGATGACATTAATCTTTCTGCAGTTGTTTCCGAGGCAAATCTTGTCGGAAATCCTAAAGAATGGTAAGTGGACACTGGTGCTACTCGCCATATTTGTGCTGACAAAAAGATGTTCACATCTTATTCTACAGTGGACAATGGTGAACAACTATGGGAAACTCCTCAACTTCCAAAGTTGAAGGACAAGGAAAGATTGTACTTAAGATGACATCTGGAAATGAATTCACTCTTAACAATGTGCTGCATGTACCGGACATTCGCAAGAATCTTGTTTCCGGATCTTTGTTGAGTACGAATGGGTTTAGGCTAGTATTGGAGAGTGATAAATTTGTACTTACTAAGAATGGGATGTATGTAGGAAAAGGTTACATGTCTGATGGCCTTTTCAAGTTAAATGTAATGACCGTTGTACCCTCAGTTATTAATAATACTACATCTTCTTCTTACTTGCTTGAGTCTTCAAATTTATGGCATGGTAGACTAGGACATGCTAATTAGGATCTTTACGTAGATTAATAAATATGGAATGTTTACCTAAATTTGACATTGATTCAAATCATAAATGTGAAATATTGCATTGTGGCAAAATTATCAACTCCTTTTCATTCAATTGAAAGAAGTATGAAACCACTTGAATTAATTCATAGTGACATTTGTGATTTTAAATCAATTCAAACAAGAGGTGAGAAAAAGTATGTAATCACTTTTATAGATGACTATACTAGATATTTAATTCGAACCAAGGATGAAGCTTTAGAAACTTTCATTCACTATAAGAATGAAGTTGAAAATCAACTTGGTAAGAAAATCAAGAAACTTAGAAGTGATAGAGGTGGTGAATATGAATCACCTTTTGGTGAGTTTTGTAAAGAATATGGAATAATTCATCAAACCACCGCTCCTTACTCACCTCAGCAAAATGGAATTGCTGAAAGGAAAAATAGGACTTTAAAAGAAATGATGAATGCCATGTTAATTAGTTCTGGATTACCTCAGAACTTGTGGGGGGAAGCAATACTTTCTGCAAATTATATTTTAAATAAAGTACCCCAAAAGAAAATGAATCAAACACCTAATGAATTGTGGCATAGAAGAGTACCATCTTACAAATACTTAAAAGTGTGGGGGTGTTTGGCTAAAGTGGCTATTCCTAATCTTAAAAAGACTAAGATAGGTCCTAAAACTATTGATTGCATTTTCATTGGTTATGCCAAGAATAATAGTGCATATCGATTTTTGATTCATAAATCAGAACATTTCGAAATGCATGTAAATACTATTATTGAATCTCGGAATGCATCTTTCTTTGAACATGTATTTCCAAATAAGACTGGACAAGAGACTAGTAACAATAAAAGATCTCATGATGCTATTACTAGTCAGGATCAAGAACATGATCAAGAACAAGAGCAAGAGTTAGATCAAAATGAGGAAAATGAACCTAGGTGTAGTAAACGTGCTCGAACCTCAAAATCTTTTGGTCCAGATTTCCTAACATTTTTGTTAGAAAATGAACCTTTAACTTTTAAAGAAGCTATGTCCAGTCCTGAAGTTCCTTTATGGAAAGAAGCTGTCAACAGTGAAGTTGAATCCATCTTGCAAAATCACACTTGGAAATTGGTGGATTTGCCACCAGGTTGTAAACCTCTTGGGTACAAGTGGATTTTCAAAAGAAAAATGAAAGCGGATGGATCAATTGACAAATACAAGGCAAGACTTGTGGTCAAAGGATTTAGACAAAAAGAAGATCTAGATTATTTTGACACATACTCACTGGTTACTAGAATAACATCCATTAGAATGCTAATTGCTATTGCATCTTTGTACAATCTAGAAATTCATCAAATGGATGTGAAAACCGCTTTCTTAAATGGTGAGTTAAATGAAGAAATTTACATGGAACAACCAGAAGGTTTTTCTGTTCTAGGAAAAGAAAAGAAAGTATGTAAATTGGTTAAATCATTATATGGTTTGAAACAAGCGCCAAAGCAATGGCATGAGAAATTTGACAAGGCAATGATGTAAAATGGATTTAAAATTAATGAGTGTGACAAATGTGTTTATATTAAAAACACAGACAAATGTTATGTCCTTGTATGTCTTTATGTAGATGATATGCTCATCATAGGTAGTAGTAATGATATGATTAAAACTACCAAGAAAATATTGAATAAACATTTTGACATGAAGGACATGGGCATTGTTGATGTAGTTCTTGGTATGAAAATTACCAAAATATCAGAAGGTTATGTTTTGTCACAATCTCATTACATTGAGAAAATACTTGACAAATTTAGCAAAGATAATGATCATCTTGCTAGAACACCTGTAGATGTTAATTTGTTTCTATCTAAGAATGTACATGAGAGTATTTCTCAATTAGAGTATTATTGAAACTTAATGTACTTGATGAACTGCACTCGCCCAGATATAGCTTATGCAGTAAGTAAATTAAGTAGATATACGAGTAATCCAGGAATAGAACACTGGAATGCAATTATAAGGGTTCTAAGATACCTTAGATTTACTCGTAACATTGGGTTGAATTATACTAGATATCCAGCAGTACTTGAAGGTTACTGTGATGCAAACTGGATATCAGATACTAGAGACTCAAAGTCCACCTGTGGATATGTCTTTACTCTTGGTGGGGCGGCTGTATCTTGGAAATCTTCCAAACAGACTTGCATTGCTAGGTCTACTATGGACTTTAAATTCATAGCTTTAGACAAACCTGGGGAAGAAGTAGAATGGCTTCGCCACTTCCTTGAAGATATTCCAATATGGCCAAAATCGGTGCCAGCTATATGCATACATTGCGATAGTCAATCAGCAATAGGTAGAGCACATAGTCATATGTATAACGGTAAGTCACGACACATTCGTCATCGACATAATACCGTAAGAGAACTACTCTCTAATGGAATTATTCCATTGAATATGTGAAGTCTAAAGACAACATAGCGGATCCACTAACCAAAGGGTTAACAAGAGAGCTAGTTAAGAATTCATCGAGGGGAATGAGACTAAAGCCTATTAAATAAGAGTCACCACAACGGCAACCCAACCTAGTTGACTGGAGATCCCAAGATCTAGGTTCAAAAGGCCAACCGAGTTGTGAATGACTTTGAAGAATCACTGGAGAACTCCTACCCATTTCTAGGATGAAATAGTGATGTCTGCAGCAGTTTAGGTTAAGTAATACTTTTAATGATTCTTATATCTAGGTAAACCTAGTGGAGTATGGCATGATACTCTTCATAAGAATCACCTATATGAGTGTGAACTGGGCTGATTCTATGAGAATTGTGAAGGGCTACAATTCTCTA